CATTAATATGCGATGAGGGCACGTATGTTCCCGTCCTATCAGATATAGTGACTATAGCGGTGATTTGAATACATATAATTAATGATGTACCAGTAGTATAATAATAATTTATTTTATTTTTTTATGTTATTTTTAATCTTCCGACAAAAAAACAATTAAAGTTTGAACAGTGGTGAAAAAAGATGCAAAAGTTAAAAAACCTACCATCAAGTGATCTGCTTAACCAAACCCTTGTTAACAAAGCCAATACAATACCATTCAAATAACAATAAAAGTGAACCAATTAATCTAAAACCTGCACAAATCGTTTTATAAACAGATTAAACCAATCTCTCAGCAGTAAATTGGAAACTGTTCAATAATACATTCAAAAATATAATTTATGATTATAATAATATTAGGCTATACATAAGAACTCATTTATTAAAAATTTAAAAATATTCAATAATATATTCAATATTATATTGTAGTATTATTATATTTCTGACAAAATAGAATAATATGATTAATAATTCCAATATTATTTTTCTTTTAATGAAGTCCCATATTCATGTCTATCTGTGGGTTCCACGCTTTCCCTTTCCAGTCGTTGTTATTTTGAATAATTATTCAGTCTGACCATGGAGAAAATAAAATAGTCTGACTTTGTACATGTGAGAAGACGGATTGTTGACAATAACAAAGGTAGACAGGTCTACATCGTGATTTGGCCAAGACCTGGACCTGAAATTAAGCCAGCCTAACCCGAACTTTTGAGCTAGCTTATTGAGAATGAGATAATAGATTCCCATTAAATATTCATATTCAGCAACATAAATCTATGATATTTTTGAAAATCAATAAAGCATGAAAAAAAATTTGCAAACAAATAATTTAATTATATATATATATATATATATATATATATATATATATATTTGCAAATTAATAGATATTTATCATTCTTCATTGTTTTTAGCAAAAAGTATAAAACTTAAAATTATTGAAAATTGTATCTTTAAGTATTCTCTAGCACACATTTTGACGAACCCGTCTCCGCTCCAAGCCAAGTGAACGCCTGACGACACAATGCCGTCTACATGCTTGTTGATAACAGACTATGCGGACTGTCATTAAAAAAAAGCAACAATCCGTTGCAAGTGAGATATTTCTATGCCCCTGTAATTCCAGACCACATTTCTAAGTGTTCCTGCTTGTTGCCACCGAGGAAGGTAATGAAGGCCCCCGTAGAACGGTAATCTAGGTGGTAAAAGGCCGGAGAGGCAAGAGGCCGGGTTGCAAATATAGTGTGACAAAAAGCTGGCTGCAACTAGAAATAGGTGGCAACAGGACCTCCTAGATTTCTTTTTCGAAGTATCAATTTGTAATCTTCAATCTTTTAACACAACACTAACCCCTCTACGAAACCCGAAACCATAAGACATTTTCATCCCCATCCTAAATGTGGTCTCCAATATTGGGAGGGTACCATTTAGTAAGTATACGCCGAGTCTGATGGAGAACCAAATGCTACTCTTACAGCCGGATAATACAGCTGTTTGAAGAATAAGGATTATAAAAAAAACCAAAAAACACTGGTAACATATTGTTGTAAACTTTAGAATAATTTAAGCATATATCATAAAAGCATTAATCTTTCTGACACAAAGTATAATGACAAATCAAACATACCATATAGAGGGCCAGCATTGGTCGTGTACTGGATGGAAGCGGGCGTTCCTTTATTGAAAGTATAACAATTACCGTACATGTAATTGTATGTATAGGTGAAATTACTGAAAACAGAAATCAAGCGGAAATTTGAGTTTGAGGTAACATAGCATTAGATAATATAAATTTATCATTCCTCGCTGTTTTTAGGAAATAGTATAAAATGTTCATAAAAACAACGCCAAAACGGATTTGCTCTTATTTTCCATTATAAATCGTGGTTGAGCATTCTCTTCGGAAGCCAATGTCATCACCATATAATTAATAATATCTCTCACCCTCTCTGTTTTCTTATCCATATAAGGGGATTACCCTTTGGCTGTGTCGGTTCTTACCTCGGCAGGCAGGGGTATCCATTGAAAGAGCACGACAATAATGCATCAGAAATATTGTGGCCAGTGATCGCCCTGTCATCATACGGTATGGCTGCCACGAATTCTGTCACTTTGTCGATCATGTCAAAGAACCCCCCACGAGTGTCAAGATTTGCATCATTCCACTCCTGGAACTGGGTACTCTAAAATAAATAAGTGAACTAGATGTTACTGTCAACAGTGCTTACACTGTTTCAGACAACCTGTTTTTCACCAGCGGCGGCGAAAAGATTTCTCTAAGAGGGATTCAAGAAAGGGGGTCCAAATTCCCCCAACGAGATTTCCAAGATCCTGGACAGGGGTCCATACCCACCTCCTCCCAACTATGGTTGGAGCAAATGTTAAGAATGCACCTTTAGATCATAGAGAAAATTTTCTCTATGTTTAGATGCACACCCAGACCATAGAGGAAATAGAACATTTTCTCTATGCTCAGACTGTAGATGATCTGTACAACAGTTTTTTTTTCGACGTTCTAGGGTTCCCTGACGATGGTGCGGTACCCCCTGGACACCCACTGGTACCGTGGTAGTAACACTCTAGTATGACTACCTTCATGTATTACAGTTCCTCTCTAAGTTTTTACAAAATTAAAAAAGACAACTACACTGGGGACCGGGCTATTAGGGGCCCGTTCAATAATAGGTATAACAAATAGGCCCCTATAATTTCCAACTTAATTTCTTAAATGATAATTACTAAACGGCCTGCAAGCCCTTCAATATTATTTAGGTTTAGGGGTGAAAAATGTAGGTTTGTGTTAATTTCAATTGTTTACATTTAGCATGACATCAATTTTCTTGCTTATTTTTTAACCACCTTCTGAGACCACACGGGCCCCATTTGCCGCGTTAGGCCGCTTAAATGCAGCGTGTGACACGCTAAGCTATACAATCGAAAGCGTCGTTCGTAACAGACGAAATGTTTTACTGTAATCGTATCCGTATTTTACCGACAATAATTTATTTATTGCCCTAGTATGTCCTAAATCTTCTATAAAACCAAAATGGCTAGAAAAGAAAGAAAGAAGTATCTGAAGAAATTTTAAAAATATACCAATGCTTGTGTACACTTACTATAGACACAGATACATTAGAAATTGGGCCATAATGCCTTAGCGCCCTGGTGAGGTGACCCATGGACCGCGGTACAAAAACGGACCGCGAGTTTCAAATATTTTAACTGCGAGATATCAGGAATTGTCTGATTTCTTACGTATCAATCAATCCGACCAAAAACGGCTAAGACATTTCATTTTACGAAGTCTACCAAACTGATGATGATACAGTAATAAGAGTGTTCCGTGGGTTCCTTTCAGCTGAGAATGCATGCCAATTGCCCTTGGGATCGTGAAGTTGGGAATTTTCTGAAGTAAGAGATTATTAATAATGGCTTGTATGGATTCACGTTATACACGTTTTGTTTATTTCTAAATTTTACTACAGAAAAATGTAACATTAAAACTCACAATTTATAAAAAATAATGTTGATGTTTACTTCTATTTGTGAAAATCGTGTAATATGCCTAAATATTTTGATGAGTTAATTTGACATTCAAGTGGGTAGATCCAATATCGTAGATACAGTAAACAATTACATTAACATACAAATTAAACATTAACCTGAAAAAATTCTAAGGAAAACTGCAGAACACTAGTTTTATTACGATGAAATATTGTCTGATCGTGCTTTTTAACTTCTGGGTCAGAATAATTACTAAACGAGCAACATGCAGCTGTTGTTTCTCAGTGTATTACAGTAGGCCACTATGACGATAAAAATTATTTTATAGTGCTTTTTATTTTAAGCATATTCCTACAATAACGTTAAGGTTCTCAATATTTATAATTGAATGAGCATGTTACTTCAGTCTGAAACGATCAGTATTGAAAGTTGAGCAGTGAGTTGATACGTTAATGTTCTCATTTCATATTGTTACATCGTTTTAGTAGGAAGCACTTTATCTTTAAATTTCGTTTTAGTATACAGCACAAAAATAATCAATATATAAACAGTCAATTATTCATGAAGATTGTAGCTCCCTTTTTGGTCACCATATTAGATATTTTTAATAACAGAATATTCGTGAAAAAAAATGATTTAAAATTTGGTGGCCAAGGTGGATGAGATAAATATAGGATCACCATAATAGTAGTAGGGAGGAGTAAAAAAAATAAATAAGGAAGCACTTCGTTAAATGAATTTTTCGAGTACAATATGTGGCCGTTTGTTGTCCCCTGTCCCGGTCCCCCAGTCATAGGCCTGACGGTTCAAATCAAAAGGCCAGGCAATAATTCTTGCACTGGGGCCCATTATCACCTAGCTACATGATTATGCACATTTTGCAGCTCTCCTGGTTTGAACTATACTACAGTCTCTGACTTGCACTGGTGGCTGAATTAAAACTAAGTATAAACCTAGGGCAACTACTTACTTGTGTAGCTTCTGTTTTCAGTAGTTCCTTGTACAATTCGTCTTGTTTTTTTAAATAAGAAAGTCGCATGTTATTCAAGTTGCAAATAGTGACGGCCGGGAATGTGAGATTAGTGACACTTTTGATGTCCACATTGGTAGTAACTTGCCGATTAAGAAAGGCGTCGATGAGTAATTTAACCTGCCATACGCACATAGAAAATGATGCTAGAAAGGCGCACATCCACAGCAGACGTCTGATCGGGCTCTGGGTCCGCTTTATGTTTGGAATTCCATGTGCTGAGATGTTCTCCATACACGATCCCACGACCAGCGCCACATTAGCACCATTTTCATTGTCCATTGTCGCACCTCTTAGTTCCTGGACCATGGCGTCCTGTATCCCAAGACGATATGACAGTTGTCCACGTCTACATCAAGAATACCTTAGACGTATTATATTATATTTAAAGAGCATTTTAAAAGGCTTACCTTTTGCAACATCCCTTCCCTGTGAATCCAGTATTTACTATAATCATGCATACTTTTTATATGTTATTCAATATATTATACAGTATGCGATAATTATGTGAAAAATACAAATTGGATTGAATTGAATTGAATTAGTTATGTTCACGCTTTGACTGGGACAATATACGGTAGTTCTTAGTACAGACATAAATATAATGGTTCTTAGGAAATAGAAAATAATTATATAATCAAATAATGAGGAACGTCTTTTTCTCAAAACGCAGGCATGTATATCATTTTCTTATCTTTTAGGCCCACCGTTTATAATTGACGTGCTTCATTGGCGGATGCAGGAATTATAAATAGAGGTGGCCCAGGGATGAACATTCGCAGACAGACAGTCTATAACACCTCTGCAGGTCCACCAGTTGTGGCTAAGGTAAGAACATTTTTTATTATGGCACCTTTAGACGGATAAAAACGGCGCTTTCAGACATTAGATTTCAATATAATTGTTTTATTCTATCCATAATTTTGAAAAATTTAGGGGGCGGGCCGACTGGGCCACCTTTTTCATTTCATTTATTTCGTCAAACAGAAAACAAAACATACAGAAATAACAATACCAAAAATCAGAGACAGGATAAACAAAAAGCAAACTGAATTGCTGTATAAAGATTCTCCACTGATTTAAGGATACATAAAATATATAAATAAATCTCTGATCTCAGGAAGTAAAAATGATTAAAAACAGCAAGGCAGAGCAAGGCACAGGCACATGCCAATATGTCACAGGACTTCACCTTGCACCACGAAAGTGGCGTAAGCTTTCACTAGCTAAGACCAGGGAGCCCATGGGCCTTAGTGTCTCCGTAAATTCGAGTTTATTTTAAACTCATGATCCACAATTGCTCAAATAAATAAATTCTCTGCCTTACCTTTTTGACGAAAATCCACAGCGACACACACAGATGTACAAAATGATACAGTAATGTACACGTCACAGCCTAGGGAAGTTACAACAAAGTACTCCAAGTTACATGTGACGTGTTGACATGGAGTACACAGATTTAATAACGACTATAATAAATATTGTTTGAAGGTTTGCAAGGTGAAGTAATAAATATTTAAAGTAGGCTAATGCTAGCGGTACAACCACGTAGATAGTTCTGAAAGAACTGTTGGTTGAGAATATCTCGAGGTTTCGATCGAGTTACTTCAATCGTCTTCAGGAGAATAATATCTGCAGAAAATTCTAAACAGGGAAATACTTATATGTATGTTTGGCCGGTGGTAAAACTTGCTGCTGATTGGTGGAAAACCAACAATAACTGAGACTACGTATGAAAAGGCTAAAATAAAAGCCAGTATTCACAGTCTGTTCTTGAGGGTGGAGCGTGGCTAAAAAGCCATGACAGTGGCATTGTTTCTACTACCTGATGAAAGGAAAGCCAAAGCAATGGGATGGTTTCCAGTGTGGCGGGAAATGTGTTGCTAAGTTTAGGTGTGAAACATGGTCAGTTAAATGTCAAATGACAAATCTGATATCTTGATATACTATATCGTATTTGTGATTTCTATAGCTTCGCTGGTCCGTTTGAAATGCAAAAATGGTACAGTGGCTATCAGTTCGGCTTTATCCCAACAAACACGATCGTTGTGTGTGGAAGTGGATGAATATAGATGACTTGTTGTTCACCTCTCCTAGTATGGCCTTGGTATTCCTTGATCAAGCCCTGTTTCACCCATGTAAACTTTTCCATATTCGCATAAAATTCGATGAAATCCTGGCTGGCTCTCTGCAGGTGGTTTATCCGTGTGTGTGTGTGGGTGTCGGGGTGTGTGCGTGTGTGTGTGTGCGCGCGCGCGTTTGTGGGGGTGTGTGTGTGTGTGTGTGTGTGTGTGTGAAGAGTCCGGGATAGTTTGTTGAGCGCACTATGAAACACTTTAATATCGGCATGTTGTAGTACATACAGACTTTCTAGGTATAGTACCATCTTGCCTATTTCTGCGTATGGATATTTGTATGTATCTCGAGTGATAACCGTTCAGTTTCAGAGCTTCTTTAACATGCTGCACTTCTTCCTGAATAGAGTTGTAGTCACTGATACCGTGTGTTTTTCTGACTCCCTTCTTGGTGGATGGATAGTAGTGAAACGAGTTGGTTTGTGATAAACTGAATGTGACAAAGTCCCTGTAGTCTTCTTTCTGGATAGAGTTGAATGTGTGTGGAAAGTCCCTGTAGTCTGCATGGTTACCAAAACATCAAGGAAAGGTAAAGACTGGTTGTGCTCCTCTTTTATGTTAAACATGATTGCTTTGTGCTCAGAATTCAGGTGATCTAGAAAACTATAGGTACACCTAACTGTGCTGCCAAATGATAAATGTGTCATCGACGTATCAGAGCCACAGGTTTAGTTGTCAGGAAGAAAGAAGAGCTAGCTGTTCGAATTCTTCGAGGAATACGGCAATGACTGGGGATAAAGGTGATCCATGGTCGTGCCTTCTGTTTGATCAAAGAATTGATCATGCCATTTAACAGGCCCGTAGGCAGGATTTTCGATTGGGAGGTGCGTTTTTGCGACTGAAGCGGACCTTAGGATGGGCGACCGCCTATGGATGTCCGCGGTGGTGGGGTGAATCCACCGGAAGCTCCGACAAATTAGAATTTTGAGGGCCTTATAATGGATTTCTGAAACCTATAATTCGTAATATTCTATATAAATTTTCATTCATTTGGGTATTGTTTAGGGGCATAAAGCAGGAGAAATAGAGGGTGGGGTGCAGTGCCAGGAGGAACTTTCACAGACGGATGGTCAGTACCACCGCAGCCGCACCATGGTTGGGGCTGAGGTAAGAAAATTTAGGATTATGGCACCTCTAGATGGCCGGAAATGGCACTCTCAAACAAAATTTAATTATGATTTTTCTTTTTTCTCCATTTCTTTTATAATTTTAGGAAGCTTTCCCCCACCCCCTAATCCGCCACTGTGAAGTTGTAACTGTTTATGTCTTTTACATCTGTAGGTCTACAGATGACATGCATCAATCTGCAATCACTAGAGCTGATAATTTCCAACAGACTTCGTAGCACATTATTAAAAATCAACAGTTAGAAGAGCGGGCAAAAAATTGTAATGCATACTAGGCCTATAGCATTTCGCCATAATAAGGAAGAATTTTAATGAAAAATAGGTTTTAAAAGGTGGACTTGAAATGTGGTGGTCCATGGGCAGAGACCTAAAGGGGGTTTTTGAGAAAAGCCCCAGGAGGCTCCGACAAAGTAACATTTTAAGGGTCTTATATAGTGGATTTCTCAAACACATAATTCGTGAATATTTAAAGTTTCATTAATTTGTGTTTTTTAGGGGGGCCTGAAGAAGTAACGTTATTATATCCTGTACATCAGTGTTGCCTACCAGTGGATACATTAACGTGCAAGATATTTGGCTAGGGCAAACGGTACGTTTGGGTTGCTCTTGAGGAAACAATGGGTAGTAATGGGATGTCCGTTTTGTGAATTTTCATTTGTCCAAATAGTCTAGGGGCAAATAGATGCTGAAGATGGAAGTTGATGACGATGTGTCTTCGAAAGCGCCTCTTAACGATGTAGTCTGAGTAATTTTCTTGCGATCCTCTATTCGATGGCTTGTGTGGGGTCCTTCTTGATCGTCCTTTACTTAGGGGTTTTCAAGAGTTGCATGATTTTCTCGTTATACTGAGTGACATCCATGACGACCGTTGCATTTCCTTTTTCCGCTTGTATGATATGGATAGGGTTACTCCTGAGGCTCTTTAATGCATCTCGTTCATCCTTGGTGGTGTTAGGTTTCGGCCTGATTCCCTACGTAGAGTAGAGAAATCTGGATCCAGATGTTGTCGGCTGAGGTCTTGTCAATCCCAGTTAGCTATGGTTCTACTCGTTGGGTGATCTCTGCTTTCGGTATAGTTAAAGGTGCCGTAGTAAAGTTCAAGCCTAAGATGAGTACTGATTTCTCAGCTACTGACAGATTGCGATTGCTGAGGTTAACTACAGTTTTAGAATTCATAAAGGAGAAGAGTAGCTTTGTAAGTTTCTCGGTTGTTGCATTTGAAACGTTTAAACTGTGAAAGTGAGTCGGCATGTGGTTGTTGACCATTTGTGGATTTTGTCGAAGTCTTTTTTGGAGCATGCAGTTGGAATCTGGCATTGCTAATCAATTCCCTTTCATGAGGATAGCTGAAGCTGTCCTAAACAGAGGTGACGCCATGGGTAGGGGGGGGGGAACAGGGCCCCGTCGGGGAGAGCTGATTCCCCTCCCGTCGGGGAGAGCTGATTCCCCTCCCGTCGGGGAGAGCTGATTCCCCTCCCGTCGGGGAGAAAAAGCACAATTCGTCGGGGAGAAATTTTTTTAAAATGTATTTTCTACATATTAGTACTCTAAAATAGATTAAATAAGCCTTTGAATTGAATTGAAACAAGAAAAAGGAAAACATTGAATCTCATGACTATTTTTACTGTAATTGGTTTTACAAAATAAACAATATTTCAAATCAATTTATATTAATCAAGACGCTGTTGCATTATCTTTCAAAGGTCATACCAATAATCATACAACTTATATACACAAAACACACAAATCAGTGACAAATTTTGAAATCATTGATTCTATCTGTATTCATTTTAATACTCTAAAACGTTACGTTAAACACTCAGAACCAGCAATACTTGGATAATAACATAAGATAAAAATATATAGCTTAATATGATAACTAAATATAAATGTAATAAAATATAGTATAATATATAATAAATAATAATGTAACATAATAGGATTTTATGATTTCATATATATATATTGCCTTT